GCTTTATTGATCTCACAGTGGAGAAATTCACTGGTCACACATCGGTTAGAGTTCAAAAGGAGGAAAAGGTGCATAAAGTACAGCAAAAGCAAACAAATATACAAGGAATCAACACAGCGCAGAGATTTGAGATATATGATATCCAGATATTTGATTTAAAATATATAAAATCATTGATGGCTCACACACAGTACACATATTACACAGGTCAGTAAATATAACACAATTGCACAGCAGTTGTTAAAGTAGTTATAGTAGTACCGTAGTTATAGTAGTTGTTATAGTAGTAGTTATAGTAGTTGTTATAGTAATAGTTATAGCATTTGTTATAGTAGTAGTTATAGCAGTTGTTAAAGTGCAGAGTTGTACAGTCTGGTAGCAGCAGGATGAATGAATGAATGAATATCGCTCTGTTTTACACACAGGGTGTGTGAGTCTTTTCCTAAAAGAGCTGCTCAGCTCCTCTACAGTGACTCAGGGGGGAGAGGTGTTGTTCCTAATGGATCTCAGTTTGGAAACACTCTCCTCTCAGCCACTTCCTCCACTGAGTCCAAAAGGTGAATCCTATGAATCCTCCACTTCTCAACTCAGACCATTTAACCCTTTTACTTAAAGGTCCAGTCACTCATTGATGAAGAAACAAACACACAATGACTTAGTGTTTTCAGAAGTATTATGTTCTCTTGTTTAAAACCGGGAGAGTCGTTATCTGAAGTCGGAATAATAATGTGAAAGTGGGGGAACTGCTCTATGTGGCGTTTCTGTTCAGGTTCAGGAATCTAACCAGCAGCTGAACAAAAACAGACCAGGTTGGTTTCCTTTGGTCAACACTTTATGGCATTTTCAGCCATTTAATCTTTTAAAATTCCTGCATTTTCAGCCTAACGAGGCCTTTAAAAAGAGCCCATATCCAAAGTTAAATTAAAGCTGCTCTTGGACCATTTGGACTGATTTTCTCACAGTTTTCTCCCTCAACAGTAAAACTGTCTAAATGTTTCTGTCATACAATAACAGCAGCTTTAATGAGAATAAGTCAACATTTCTATGCCTGGTTTTTCCCATAATGTTTGCCTTCCAGTGAATGCAGCACAGACCTCAGACACACCTGAAGTCTTACCAAGGCCCACTTCAAATTCCATGTTTTTTTCTCATTTGTTTAGCTGAGGATCAGAGTAGGAGGCCAAATCCTGCCATAAGGATGATCTTTCAAACCTTGTTTCTGGACTTTGGAGGAAAAAAAGAGCCACTATGGACTTTCCTGCCCCACATCCAATCAAATCTCGGGAGCTTTAACCGAGAATTGTGGGCTTTAAACTTCCTTTTGTTATTGACGTTAACTCTTGTTAATTTAAACCCGTTTAGGTTTCCTCTGAAATGTGTTTAATGTCTGAAATGAGAGCATTTTATTCCTCCTCTGTGCAGCTCTTTGAAAAACACAAACACAACAACAACACGGACGGGTACCTACTTGCTTTTTTATGCAGCAGTTTGTGAGACGCCCAGCTCCCCTTAAAGCATTCCTGCAGGGGAGAGTTAGAAGAAGAAGAAGAAGAAGAAGACTTTAGGAGTTAACGTTTATAAGTCAACAGATGCACACATGGCCAATGGATTTATCCTCATAAGCATCACGATGGAACACTTTAGTTTGATTTAATCAGCGATCAGCTATAAAATAAAAGCCTGAGGTGGATCCTTTTCACATGTATGTTCTAGATAGTTTCTTTATTTAGACCCAACTCACGAGTGGACTGATGCTGGGAAAAGAAGGCTGGAAATACAAGTGCAAACAGACCAGGTCCCATACCAACATCTACAGCAAAGGTCTCCAAGTTTGAACTTGGTTTTGGATCAGATTTAACCAAAAAGGATTCTTTAAATGGACATTTCTCCAACTTGGTGACCAAACTTACACATCTAAATGTGCAGCCATGACTCTGTAACGGCTCACCTGACAGATCAGCTTTTATCAGAAGTTAAAGAAACAGAATCAG